TAGGTATGAACGTACTCATGTGGGTATGAACATACCTGTATAGGTATGAATGTACTCATGTGGGTATGAACATACCTGTCTAGGTATGAACATATTTACTAGCGGTATTACTTGGAAGTACGGTACTCTTACCAACCGTGCTTCATACGAAGTAAAGTACGTACTTGGGTACTTACTTCTTTATACGCAGCATAAGGTACGAACCATAGACGATACTGTACCTTACTAATAGTATAAATATAAACGTACGTACAGTACATATGTATTTTGGTATGAATACACATCGAAATCGAAAAAATGGATCAAAATTTATTCATTTTTCTGCTGTATTTCGGAACATCGTGGTCAGATGATACATACGACGAGACGAGACGAGACGAGACGAGACGAGACGACAAGAAAACGATGTGATACAATACAGCAGGACACAGCTATCAATGATATAACAACGGATGGCCTTGCCTGCCGCGCTGCGGGAGGAAACGCGGGCACAACGAACACAAACGTGCGTTCCGTAACCGATGTTTGTGGACAACCCCAAAATCGTCAACGTGGCAAGACAAGACAAGACAAGACATGTCGTTCCTGTACTACTGAGTGTTTGCTGGTGTAGATTCGTTTGCTTTTGCTGCTTCGGTTTTCTATTTCGTGGGCCTGCCCGGTGATCATGGAAAAATAGATGCTATTTTACAAATTATGAAATACGGAAAAGTATTCGGAAACGCTCTGTGCTGCAACACACCATGCTGCCGGGTCTCTTCCGGCACTCTCTCGTGGTGCAAGCAAGCGCACGGCGTGCAACAAGTCCAATGATTGCGATGTAGGAAGGCTCGACCAACGGGCCCCGTCTCTCTGGCCCGGACCATTAAAAACTAACAATGTTGGTTTGCGAGGGCAGGCTCGAGAGATCCCCATTGGTGGCCTCCAATAATTTCTCTTTGAACCACCCCTCCTTGGCGGTGTCCAGGCTGAATTCGTACGCCGGTCGAATGTACCCGTACCTGGACTTTGGATCGTAGTTCGCCGTCCAGTCCTTGTTGTTGCAATCGGTGTTCTCGTCGTTGCAGCACAGGGTGCAGCACCGGCAATCGACCTCGGGCGCCTTGTTGTTCAAACCGGGGTAGCAGTCCGTGGTGAAGTGCGCCATGGTGCTCCCGTTGGCGGCGCAGATGTCGTTGGTTTTGCCGTGGAGATTGTTTCCGTCCAGCAACAATATCTTCAGCTTGGGCATGTACTGGAGTTCGGAGGGAATCGTTCCCGTCAGCTCGTTGCGGTTGAGCTGAAGGATGGCCAGCTCGCTCATGGTCCCGTAGTACGAGGAAATGGTTCCGCTCAGGTCGTTTCCGTCCAGATCGAGCATTCGGAGGTTGCTCAAGACGGCAAAATGATCCGGGAGGGTTCCCATCAAGTTGTTGCCCTTCATGGACAGGTCCTGGAGGTTCGTAAGGAGCGGAAAGTTGATGTTTTGCAATTCCTTTGCGTCGAAATTGTTGCCACTGGTGCTGAGAGACACCAAGTTGGTCAGCAGCTGAATGGTGTCGGGAAGGGTTCCGGAAAAACGGTTGGACGCAAGGTCCAGGTGCCTAAGGTTGGGCAAGAATCCGATGTGATCGCTGACTTTCCCGGACAACGAATTCCCGTAGACAGAAAGGTACTCGAGTTTATCGTTTTGCTGGATTTGTTGGGGAAAGTCACCGAAGAACATGTTGCGGTTGATGTCAAACACGTACAGATGCTTGTTGTCAAAAATCCTCTCCGGAATGCGGCCATCGAGGATGTTGTTGGAAAGATCGAGTTCTCTCATTGAAGGCCAATCACATTGGTAGATTTCTCCACTCAGGTTGTTGTCCTCGAGGTACAGGGCCTCGAGTTTGTTGAGTTTCAGCAGGGGAAAGATCTTTCCGTCCAGAAAGTTTCCGTCCAATCCCAGAATGCGCAAGTCGGTCAGTTGTTTAAAAGACGTAGGGATCGAGCCGGTAAGTTTGTTTTGACTGAAAGCTAGGGTTGTGAGTCCTGTCATATCTCCAATATAGGACGGGATGCTGCCGTGCAGATCGAGATCGTGCAATCCAAGAGACTTGAGTTTGTGAAAGGAATTCAGTTGAGGCATGGCTCCACCAATGATGTTTGCATGAAGATGAAGTCGTTCCAAATCTGACAAGAAGGTAATCTCTTCAGGAATTTGCTTTCCGACCAGATTGTTGTTGGCTGGAAAAATAGAAGAGCGGAAAAACAAAAAAGAGGTATTTTGGGATTGTTAGAAGCGGGGATGAATGGTGCGATCAAAAAAGGAAACAGACCTAATGACGCATCAGCTCGCATCCGGTCACTATCTTGGATAGGAACTCACACAAATCGAGATCGACAACGCTGCCTCTATCGTCACACTGGACACCCTTGAGGATACGTCCGCGGGGAGTGTTGAACTCCTTGTTCCAGTCGCAATGATCTCTGGTGCTCATGAAGTTGAAACTGTCGTCCCACGACATGCCATTCATGGAATAAAACAAAACAGCGAGAATGTACCGCTGGGTAGTTCTCCATCCGTCCTTCCCGTTGAAATCCAGGTGCTTTTCGTCTCCTACTGCAAGAAACTGGGCCGCGTGATACTGAGGAGATTCGGGGTGCATCATTTCTGGCAACTTCGAAACACTGGGTGCCAAAGTGTCAATGATTTCTTGTAGTCTATTTTCAAAGTCTTCTTGATTGATTGACATTGCCTTTGAAGACTTGGAGGATTTAGAGGAGACTCCGACAGAAATAATGACACTAAGAAGCACTGCAACAACTGCAGCACCGGCCATCGCCATGTACAGCTTGCGTCGGTGATTCTTGGCAAGTAGGATCGCCGTAGGAAGGTAGGCGCTGGAAGCCTTGACTTCCTCCACGGAAGGGAGTTGGTCGTGACTGTAGTCGTCTGCAGAATCTTCAGTACCACCCAAAATTTCTTTGATGGCGGTGCGACGAGCCTCTTCGTCGTCGAATTCTTCGTCGTCATCGTCGTCTTCAATGACGCATTCGTCATCGTCTTCGATGGCAAAGGTGTTGCCACCGTTTTCGAGATCGCTTGTGGGATTATCTTGGCTCATGGTTGGTCCGAGTATTCTTTATTTTCCCGGTTGGTCGGTGGATGTTCTCGATTTTCTTTGTCGAAATTTAAATTTTGTGACGGTTGCACTTCTGAACGTCGTCAACGAAAAGTCGTCGAGATGTAGTTTCTAGATTCTAGATTCTTGCTTGGAAGAGTTTTCGATGGAAAGGTTTTCAGCAGAATGTGTGATGGCTACCAGACTCCACGTAGATGTGGTACTTTGGCTTATGTCAAGCTTCAGGCAATAGTAAAATATTCTGAAATCTCGGTCGACTACTAAGTAATTGAAAATCTTGGAACCGCGATAACCTTAAGTAATTGTAATTTTCTGATTCTGACGGTTGGTAGAATCGGAAGGGAATCAATCTGAATCAACCTTAAGTAGAGGAAAATTAGTTACACCGAGTCATTTGTATGTTGTGCTGTTGCTAATCGTTTCAAAAAGATGATACAGTACGGTATCCTACAAGTACGAGTACCATACGGTACCAAAACGTGTTTCTGACAACCTCACAAAAAGAATATTTGCGGCCGGTCGTACAGATAGTTGGACTTACAGTAATAATTTACTGTAAAGTTCAGTAGCATAATATTATTTCGTTACCGGTATTATAACGGCTTTTGTACGGTGTTAATAACTTTTGTTTGACCTTTGTAGCAGGATTGGAGAGGTTGCTCTAATTCGTACCAGTATGTCGTTTGAGCCAGGGGTCAAAAATAGATTTGACATTTATGACCCCTGGTGTGAGCACTGAATGCCATGGCTCGTACGTACTGTTACAGAGTACGGTACGGGTACTCGTACTTCATAAGTACGATGCAGAACCATACTAGTACGACAACGTACCGTACTTTACAACGATGTCTTTGAACAGAGTCGACGTGACGGACAGAAAGTCAGCTGTTTGTGTTCTTGTTGCAAACGGATGAAGTCAGGACTTCACACCACCAGATGGAATCACAGTAACATTAAAGCTCTATTCGAAGAAGTACCGGTCATAGATAATTGTTAATTCTGCTGTACTTCGTACTACGTATGAATTACTGTATCGGTAAGCACGTACGGTAGTAAAAGTGATTGAATGGTCCTCCGAATTATAACCGTCGATCATCCCATTGAAAACAAATGCAATTTAACTATGACCGTCTGTACATAATTCTTTACGAAGTGGCTTGATTGCAAAGGCATTAATTGTTTGTGAAAGACCGAGTTGCAGAGAGTGGAATATCGTCACAAAAAATTTGTCAATCCTCGCTCTGTCCAAAATACTTCTCGAAAAAAGAATAATCCTCAAACATTTAAATTTACATTTAACGCGTTTTGAGAAGCACATCAATCCTCCAACAGAGATAAGAAGAAAATTGAGGACAACATAAAAATTTGGGGTTTCCGGTTAGGATCTTCCAGTACTATCTCCACCATAGGTTAAATGTCTCTTTTTTCGCGGCAGGGTGCCGTATGGCGTCGCCCAGAAACCTTGTAACTGTCACCATAATATTTTCGTCCCTGTACAACGGTGTAATACCAGGTTTTTTGGAACAATTACTGGGGCATTCGTCACTCTAGCTTCGCATCCCATTCTTGCTCACAAAGGCCGAAAATTTGGTTCGGGTTCTGCCCATAGCTATTTCAAAACCATCCAAACAATTATTTCGGATCGTACCTCAATTGCTTCGATGACACATGCCAACGGAAAAACCTCACAACCCGACGGACCTTGTCGTCGATCGTCGACAAATACTCCGCAGCGAACCGAAAGATTGACCACATGACACATGCAAAACTCATTGGAATTGTTGACGGCGCTTGTTCTCATAACATCCGAATCGGGACATCCAAAAGAACGCAACGCAACGCATCACATCACATCACAAAGCTACAAATTTGTAGACAACAACACCTGTCAGTTACCGTACTAGTCACCATGGTTGCTCAATCCGAATACCAGATGGAAGGCCCATCCATGCATGGATACAACAACGAGATCTGCTACCACCAAATCCACCACCACGATGACGATCCCGTTTGTGTGACGCCCAACAAACGGCGACGCGTCTCGATGTCGGCCCGCGTGCGCTTCGACGACCGCGTCACCGTAATGAACCAAGACGAACGGGGTTGCTCTCCACGGGACAACCCTTCCGAAATGGAACAGCAACAGCAACAGCAACAACACCCCCCTTCCTCCCTCTGGTTGACCCCCAACGACTTTACCAAGATCCAGAACAGCATCTTTACGACGCTCGAGATGATGAAACTCACCGGCGACTTTGGAAGGGACACGCCGCTGTCGAACCGCTACTGCGCGAGGGGCCTCGAAAACTGCGACCTGGAGCGCAAGGGAAGCCTCACGGAGGAAGCCTTGGCGAGGCGCCGGAACGTCATCGGAGCGGTCCTGCACGAACAAAACATCCAGCGGAAGCGACAGATGGAAGCCTCCCTGAGCAGCAGCAGCAGCCGCCGCCACAACCTCTGCAACCGAATGGGCGGTGGCTACGGTGTGCAGCAGCAGCAGCAGCAGCAGCAACGAGACGACCACCACGCCCTGATACAAAAGCAGGGATGCACGAAAATACCAGAGCACGGAGGTTCGTGCGTCCTCGACCACTTCCGGATCGGCCTCATCTGCATGAACCTCACACACGGGGACATCATGGACAGCATCGACCGGGGACGGCAGGACTCGGAAGAGGCCCTGGAAATCTACCGTACAAAGCCACTGCCTCTGGGAAACAGGTGATACGAGACGAGACGAGCAACGACGAGACGAGCAACGACGAGACGGGACGTCCTTGCGGAAAGAACAACGGGGATGGAAGGCTCGAGAATCGAACCAAGGAATGGGTCCGCCGAGCATGTACTGTAACAATAGAAAACACGAAATCAAAACAAACAAACAAACAAGCAAGCAGTCGTACTCTAGAAAGGTAATCTACATCAATCTAGTATGCATTCCATATAGACATCGTTTTGGTTTGGGTGTTTTCAAGGCCCACGGTCCGGTCCTCGGGAGGCACATCCGCCCGGACCCCAAAAACGGGGAAGGAAGGCTCGAGAATCGAACCAAGGAATGGGTCCGCCGAGCATGTACGATGCTGTACCAATCGAACACACGAACTCAAAACAAACAAACAAACAAACTAGAGCATCGTACGCTAGAAAGGTCATCTGCATCAATCTATTACATTGTACATTCCGTAGAGTTGGTTTGGTTGGTTTGGGTGTTGTCAGGGCCCGCTTTCGCGTTCGCGTTCGCTTCGGTCCGGGACCGGACAGGGGCCGGCCCTCGGGAGGCACCTCCGGCCGGACTCGGCCCCGGCAAAGACGACCCCCGTCCCGGCCTCCAGGCGCACCAGCGGGTAGCCTTCCAGGATGCTTTCAAAGGCGGTCTCTGGCGATTCGTCCAGGCCCTTGTAGGGAGCCTCCCCCGGCCACCGCATCGCCAGAAAGCCGCACATCCACCAAAAGTTCCCGCAGTCGGGGTGGTCGGTGTAGGCCTTGTGGTTGCCGTCGTCGCAGCAGGACCAGTTTTCGTTGCGCAGGGGATCGGCGTTGGTGATCGGATGGGTCCCCTCGAGCGACTCGGGGATCATGTAGAGGCCGCTGCTTGCATGGTTTGCCGTGTCGCCGCTGCGTTTGCTGTTGCCGCTGCGTTCGGCAAAATCGGCCTCGTGGGGCATCGGCTGGAACCGGTGGGGGGCCAGGACGTTTCCCTTCTTGAGTTCCCTCGCCAGGGCGGCCGTCGAAGCCGGCTTGGTGGTGAGCAGGGTGTCGGGTTCTCCCAGAAAGACGTACTTCCAGCGGCGGTTGGTGTTGGAACTGCTGCTCCCGGTGGTGGCGGTGGCAGCGGGTTTGGTGTTGGTGTTGGTCTTTCCCATCCAGCACTCCTCGACCGAGGCCTCTGCCTGGTTCCGAAAGATTTTCTGGAGCCGCAGGAGGCTTGCCGCCGGAACGTTGATCGGGCTGATGTCGTTGCCGGTGGTGGCGTCCCCGGTGTCGCAGACCGCCAGCTCGGCAACGGGTTGGTCCCAGGCAAACATGGCCCGCTCGGCAATGGAAAGGGCCTCCCTGATTAGGGCCTCGTCGGTGTCGAGCTCCGCGCTCGCCACCACGATCCGGCCGACTCCGACCTGGGCGAGGGAGAGGATCGTTGAAGCCAGGGACCACTTTAGGATCTCGTCTTCCCGGTAGTTCTTGCTGTTCATAAAGGCAATCACGGCGATGGTCGACCCGGAGACCTCGAGCCACTCGTTGTTGTCGTTGTCGTTGTTGTCGTCGTGGTTGTCGTTGTTGCTGCCACTTCCGAACCGAAAAGCCTTCCAGACCTCGCTTCGGTCTTTGCTGGAGACGTAGGCCTTGAAGATTTCCAGGATCCGGTCCGCGAACTTGTTGACGGTCTTGTCCCCGGTGCCCTCGCGGACAATCATCTCGTCGAGGACCATCTTCCACCACTTGGACATGTGCTCCACGCCCAGGTCCGTCCAGTCCCTGGTCACCCGGATGTGGTCGTATCCGTGGGCCTCGAAGACCTTCCAGGAGGCCGATTCCGGGCTGGCGTCGATGGTGTCCGGGACGCCCAGCTCCAGAAAGCGCTCGGTGCTCTGCCACCAGGTCGCCGAGAAGGCGTCGTCCATCGGGAACTCGGCGTCTTTCAGGGAAGGGTCTCTGGCCTTGTCGGCGTCGGTGTAGACCATGCCGATCCTCAGAAAGTCGACGGGCTTCTGCTTTGTGTGGATGCTTGTGCTTGTGCTTGTGCTTGTGCTTGTGCTTGTGCTTGTGTTTGGGAGCTTGCCCCGGAGCGAGGAAGGAGTCGGTCTCTCGTTTTCGTCGTGTGGCGTCGTGCTGGCAAATGGCACCGTTGCCATTGCCATTGCGCTTGCCATTGCGGATGCGGTTGCCGAAGCCGTGGCTGCTCCTGTTCCTGCTGCTCCTGTTCCTGCTGCTGCTCCTGCCTCGGACCGGAGCGACACCAGCAACCGCACGTGGCAGGCAAGCTGGAGGAACACCACGAAACGGAAGAAAACCTTACAGCTCTTGGATTTCGCCACCGACGACCACAGGCGACCAAAGGGACCGCTGCCGCTGCCGTTGCTTCTGCGCTTCGTTTGGTTGCCCCTTGGGCTGTTGCAGTTTCTGGGGCCGACACTGCTCCTCGGGCTGTTGCCGCGGTGGCACTGGCGCTGGCGCTGGCATTCGCATTCGCATTCGCTCTTGAATTCGCGTTCGCATTCGAATTCCTCGGGCCGGAAATCCTTGTCGTGGTCTTTCGAGAAATCTTTCGAGAAAGAGCCCCTGCCTTTGCCTGCTCCGATCGGGGAAGAACGCCGCTGTTTCACAAATCCCTTGCCCTTGTCCATGTTCTTGTGTACGCTTTCGTTTGGTGTGTTGTACTAGTGGTTGCTATTATTGCTGTTGTTGTTGCTATTCTTGTTGCTGCTATTATTGCTATTGCTATTATTGCTGTTCTTGTTGCCATTCGTGTTGCTGTTGCTGTTGCTGCTGCTGCTGCTGCTGCTGTTTGTGGGGTGTCACTGGGCTTCGTTTCACGAAGGTTCCGTGCTGGGTTTGGTTCGACAAGAATTCCAAGAAAGTTCAATAGTTTTTTTATCCGCGCTCTCGTTCTTGCGCTTTCTTGGTCCCGTATTGTGCAAGATATATGGGGTTTGGTTTTGTCGTGTGGTGTGGTGTGGTGTGGTGTGGTGCGGGAAGGTTGGGGTTATTGGTTATTATTATTATTGGTTATTCCCTAGCCACTCGTGATTCTGGATTCTGGGGTGTTGGGTGATTGGTGATGGATGTTTGATGTCTCAAAGCCACACGTACGTTTATACCATACTACTCCTACGTTGCGTAAAACGAAAACCGAGAGACCGAAGACGAAAGACGAACACGAACACGAACTATTCGTGACTGAGCCCATCGCTGTTCGGTGTTCGGATGCGATACGGTACGTCCTCGTACGTACAGGTACATCAGACCAGTACAGTACAGTACATCGGGAGTCATACAGTAATCACAAGTACTGTATGACAGAATAATGATCCCTGTTTGCTTGCGGCGTCCCTTCCGCGTTCTTGTTTTGGGTACCTGGTACGGTCCGGTACGTACGGCACTAGTAACATTCTGTTGGCATTCATTACTTATGAATTCATTCTTCGTATCCGGGAATCCGAAGAGTTTGTTGACATGTGATTCCCGATCGGAAACTACGAACCTCGTACTACTTCGGCCCCTATGACGTGGTCGGAGAAGGGGCGATTACATTGTTCCAATGACATCGAGTGATACTATAAGTGAAAAGAATTACTTACGTATAAAATGAGAGGAACATGTGCATCGTGTAATCTTAAACAATTTTTAAAAATACAGCATTGATAAAACAATTACTTACAATTGTGAAAAGCAAAGAGAGCAGAATTTTTCTTATGAAAAAATTTCGAACTTAAATGTACAGATAAACATTTGTATCAATCCATGACATTGGAATCTTATCCCTATTATCTTTGATACAATATGGAAAAAATCTTAAGTCAAATTTATGACTTTTAAATATACTACACCATTTTTTGGATGTGTTCCATTAAAGATTGTTTCGATATTTCATATTATGCCACACCGGGTTTGATTAAGATCTCGTCCATATATTGTTTTTTAAGTCCCATTATGTGTGATTTCCTAGTGTCTTGACATGAATACTACGCGTATTAAGGGAGAACAACTGCCCAAACCCAATGCTGTGTTCTTTCCGCGAACTTCATCTTTGTTTAAGTTCGGTGGTTCTGTACCGGTTCGTACTTACGCGTAGTCGTTCCGGGAATTCATTCTTTCTTCTCAGAAGCCCACCAATTTCTTTCTTACTACCGTTGTTACCTGAAGCGAGAACAAGAGTGATGGCGGTTTTCCGCTTCCAGAATATTTCCGGAACCCCTCACCATCTCCGAAATCTGACATTCCTTTGCACAACAGACACATCACCCGTCACCAACACCGAACCCAACCGAAACGATACAATACAATACGATACGATACAATACGATACAAGGGTTCGCAACCGGCAACAAAGGCATCCACCCACACGCAGACGGACACGCACGTCACATCACATCACGCAAGATCCCATCACATACCGTACGATTGCAACACCACGCTAGATTGCATCACACCAGATTCCATCGCACACGAGAGCATCGCATCGCATCGCATCGCATCGAAGCAGCCAATTGCAGCACAGCACAACACAACACAACACAACACAACACGACAAACAAAACACAGAAGGCACCGCCGTAACATGTCCGACGAGGCAGCAGATGATCTCGACTGGAACGACGAAGACTTTGTCCTCACCAGGGTCAAGGCCAGCGGGTGGGACCTGCGGCTCGCCCCCAGCAAGATGCGGGACCGCCGGAGGATCGTCCTGGGAGCGGTGCGCTCGGAACCCTTTGCCCTCATGTGGGCCTCCGAGACGCTCAAGAACGACACCGAGGTCGTCACCCTGGCGGTCGGGAAATACTGGGACTCGCTGGGCTTTGCCTCGACCGAGCGGAGGGACGACCCGGGGATCCTCTCGATCGCCCTCAAGCAGACCGGGGCGGCGCTGCAGCACGCCTCGAAGCGCCTCCGGGGCAGCAAGCCGACCGTCCTGGAGGCCGTGAAGAAAGAGGGGATCGCCCTCCGGTTCGCCTCGGACAAGCTCAAGCTGGACAAGGACGTCGTCCTGGCGGCCATCCGGAGCAACGCGAGGGCACTCCTCTACGCCTCGGAGGAGCTGAGGGGCGACGTGGACGTCGTCAAGGCCGCGGTGTCGCAGGACAGCCTCCTGATTTGTTACGCGTCGGAGAAGATGCAGTCCAATCCAGAGGTAGTGCGAATGGTGAAGCGAAGACAGTTTGACGACCTAAAACACTTCCGGTCCTCGCCGAAAAAGGCCAGGATTGCCTTGTGATCGATGCGATGCGATGCTTGGCGGGAGGCTTGAGTTTGCGCCGAACACCGGGTTTCGGCTTCGAAACAGAAACACACACGGTGCGGTATGTTATGTTATGGCAGAACAGTATAAGCATGGTGCGCCGCGAAGCACGGAACGGCACCACAAAGAGGGTCCAGAGGGATTAGAGCATGGTGGCGCGGTACGTTTTCGGAACATTGGTTCGATGCGGAACCGTACACAATCGACTCCACAACCCATGCATATGTTCATTCATCGTCTATGCTGTACTATTGGGGAGCACACAATATATACTTAGCAAGTAAACAGTAAGTGATAGATTTTAAATACACTAATCTTGGAACAAATTAGTTCATGCGTGAGGACACAGAAACTCTCGTCGTTAGTGGCATCGCCCATTCTTGCAATAGAAGCACGTCCTATCGCCCAAGCATGCGTACATTTCAAGTGCTGCTGCTTTGAGCAACATCAGACTAATCCCACTCATCACAAGAAAATGCAAACATAAGACTTAGTTCTTACCAAAGAGTTGTAGATTAAATTGCTACACTTCTGACTACTACTAGTAGGACCATAGAGGAATAACCAAAGTAGTTTGCAGCAAACTTGATTTGCAAGCATGATACTACTACTAGTATTGTAGTTACTACTACTACTACTACTACTTCTACTTCTACTTCTTCTTCTTCTTCTTCTTCTTCTTCTTCCGCAAGAGAAATAGTATCTAGTACTACTAATGCATGATGTTTCGCATTGACAAGAAGAGCTGGTCAGAGAGAACAAAATGTCTATTTGCCTGCTGATACCAACTATGATGAATGGACACTTGTTGACACCTGCTGGTCTGCATAAACAAGTAGCTAGTAGTATAGTGGTATTCCTGTTGCAACAAGTGCTTGTTTCTGGTAGTACTATCTACTACTAGTAGTACTATTATGATGTTGGTGAAAGAAACTTGAGGTTCTTCCTTTTTGAGAAATCTGTTTGGTGTTCCTGAGTTGTGGGTTGTTGCTAAGTCACATGCAAGAAAAATTGTTAAGATATTTCTTTTGCTGCTTTATCATTGCTTTACATTGCAGAAATATGATGCTGTGATATATKATTACTGACTGACTTTTTTTGTGCATTTTGTGAGAAAAGGATGCTGGCAGGAGTAGTAGTAGTAGTACTTGTCTTACTATAGTAACCCCCACCTTCAGTGTGGGAGTTTGGAAGAAGACTGCAAGAACCCACCAACTGTTTTGGAATCTACAAGTAGCATTGGTCATTGCACTTTCTTCTTGGGCATAACTTGAACACAGGAATTTTCTGCCCTGTTTTTTTTGCTTCCTTGTCACAACCAGCATGCCTCCTTGCAATGTTTTTGCACTTGATGCTGGTGTTTGATTTGAGAAAACTTGAACTTGTTGCTAGTGTTTTTGCAAACACATCAAGAAAGTTGACATGTAAATGGACAGAATGTCTTCACTTTTTTGTTACCATTTTGATTTTCTTTCTTGTTGCCCCCCCTCTCCTTCTTGGTTTTGCAAACAAGGCTTCTTTTCCTTCCTACTAGGTACTAATTTTTGAAAATAGAATCTGGATCATCCTAGGTACACTGTGTTTCAGGTGAAACAGTGGGTTCCAGCATTGTTTGTAGCTGTTGGAACAAATTCTCTACAGGTCAGATTAAAAGCAAGGGGACAGGCAGTGGTGGCTATGACTGCCACTTGGGTGACACTGTCAACCTTGTTCTTCCCACATTGTCAATCAACTTTTTTCTCAGGGACCCACCACTTTTGTGTTTGCTTTTCATTTCCACCATCAAGGATGAAATCTGGATTATCAGTGCAATCAATGTTTGGCACCAAGGAAGGACCTCCTGATGGGGTTGGACTTTAGTAGTTCCAGCACACCACTACTAATACTATAAATGGTGTCCACCCTTCTTCTTGGTTCTTGTTGTCTATGGTTTCAAGAATTCTTGCTTGATCAGTATAGTACTAACAGAGGAGTTACTATTTTGTTCTTCTTTCCTGTCATACCAATTTCTTGGAACCATAGTATTTTTGCATCAGTTCTTGTTGTTGTTCCAAGTTTTGGTGCAGGCATGAGCGGTGGTGGTCTTGGTGACTGAAAATATTCAGTTAGAAAAACCCAAAAGAAATTCATCAAAAATTCAACATGGTGGAAGTCAAGGGGAGTGACAATAAAGTGGTATGATTGTCCCACAAACCAGAGGGTGGCTCAGATTCTACTGACAGAAATGAGTATTTTTCTTGCAGACTGTACCACCAAGCTTCTGGCTGGTGGTACTAGTGGTAGCAGTAAGAAGCTCTTGGTACTTATTATTTGTAGAACCCTCCTTCTACTTTTCCTTCACCACCAGTCTCAGCTCTACACCACTGCTGAATATTTTCTGTCGTTCTAGCTGGTAGCAAAGGTTAAGAATAGGACTCAAGACTACCAAGAGAAGCTGAAATTTCATAAGATAGATTTCCTCCCTTTTTGTTCTTCTTTATTGTACTTCTACTGACAATAGAAAATTATGGTAACAAGGAATGAGTACTATACATTTCAGTGACAATATAAATTGTAGTACTTTGTGCTGAGAAGAAGAAGGCAACATGACAATTTACTTCTTGTTTTTTAGAAAAAGAATAGCTATTTTTACTGGTAGCAGGAGGAAATCCAGCATTTATGGATGGTCAAATTAGATATTGATAATATGAACAGTGGTGAACTATAAAATTTCAAGACTTAGACAATAACATCCATTTTGATAGGGCTACTACTGACTCATCTCATAGTGCATTGAGGAGAAATACTTTGCAATACTACTACTACTACTACTACTACTACTACTACTACTAGTAGTAGTAGTAGTTAGGAGTATTACTAGAAACCAGAGAAACTGCTTGTTGTGTACCAGCAGGATGCATAGAATCAGGAAGGAGTGCTGCCCTTCAGCAGAGAAACCGCTGGAACCATTCTTCACCTTACTATCTAGTACTACTACTAGTAGTACTACAAGCACCAGAAGGTTGTTAAAAATGCACAGGGCACCAGTTGGTTCACTGTAGCAGTGTACTACTGATGAGATCACCTTCATTACTATACTAACTTTTCCTGCAGCACCTTGAAGAAGAAGCATGCCAGATTGAGATCAGCAGCACATCAAAGAAGAAGAAGCATGCCAGATTAGGACCGTACTGGTTTGTCACCAGTGCACCTCCATCACCTCCACCATTGTGCTGATGAGGGGCGCACAAAAACAAGTAAATGATGTGTAGTGGTAATGTTCACTAGTTAAAAATATGACCCTTAAATTGGTCAGAGACTGCTTTCATATAAAGAATAACAGTAATSGTAGTAAAAAACCAGTATCAGAATCTGACATCTAATGACAAGAATTACCACTACTAATTAATACTAGTACTAGTACTAGTATTATTAATAGTAGTCAAACCATAGTACTAGCTAGTATTACTACTACTAGTAGTAGCTATGATAGTTTTGGGTTGGTGGCTCCTCAAGGGCACCAAATGAAAAAAATTAAATTGGATAGCATCTACTAGCACAAGAAGTAGTATGTTCCATTTGGTACTAAGAACCAAAGGGTACTATTTTTCAAAATTTAAACCAACTTGGTCTAGGTCATTACACCAATACTAGTAGTAGTAGTTATGAAATAACATATTGAAACCAAAAAAGAGACAGTGAGTATACCTGAAGTTATTTTACAAAAATGTGCAACTTTGGGATTCCATTAGTAAACCCAGGGAGGATGATGTGATCCAACTGGTCCACATAATACTTTTCAATCACACTACTAATTACTCAAATAAATCACATGGTTCATTCAAAAAGACCAAGTAAAATGGACCAAATGACAGCCAGTCAAACAAGATATGACAACAGATTTATTCCTGTAATACTAGTAGCCTTTCAATGTCTAGGGGTTACAAAAATAATTGACGAAAAATGGCCATTCCTATTTTGTAAATTCCATCACTTTCATGCACTGCATCTTGAATGGCCTAAAATTGACCAAATGGTGACAAAATAAATACTTCAGTTCGGATCTATCATTACTGTGAGCATTAACCACACTAAGTAGATTCTCATAGTAGCATTTCCTTCAGTAGTATTAAGAATTTCGATTTACTTTTGCTGTCATTCCAAAATTACAGAGGCTATGTTTCTTAACGTGGTATTATGAGTTTTTATTAATTACTGTACATATAGCAGAATTCTAGGTCGGCGACATACGATCGATTGAAGAGACCTACAACTGTGTTTTTTGATTTGATTTGATTTGATTTGTTCCATTTCGTTTTGATTCGTCTTTCAAAATTTTTGTTCCCCCAATCAATAGACAAGGGGATAGTGGAATGATTCATAAAAAAAATCGTGGTAAAGCCGAAATGATTCGCTTTCGGTTGCAATGCGTGTGTCGATTCGATTGATTCGATTCACTTGCTGTCGGTGAATTGATCCGGGTTGTAGTATACTCCATGCATACGGCGCTACAACCACGAGCAAGATGGGGTCAATTTTCCGTTCCATTCCATTCCGTTCGCGCTCTGCACTATTGTCTCCGGCGCTGTTTCTTGTAGCTCGATGGATCAACAACGATCAACCCCGTGTACGAATCGGGCGAAGACCAGTGCAGCATTTTGTGCGATAGCAGTTCCTTCTGCTTTGCCTGGCTGAGGCTCGAAAGGTCTCTTTGGTCCAGGACTTCCGTCGCACTCTCGTACGAGGTCGCCCAGATGTTGGTCTCGGTATCTTTCTCCTCCTCCCCCATGGTGGTGCCCGCAGTGGTTTCCGTCGACGTCCCCGCTTCGGTGGGGGCTGCCGTCGGAACGAGCTGGTGCTTGAGTTCCTCCCGTCGCTTCGCCTGTCTCTTCGAGGTGTAGGAACTCCACGACAGGAGGTCCGCCCACCACCGCTCCATGTAGTGACCCTCCTCGATGTTGTCCGCCCGGCTGAGCTCGTTGGTGATGACCGACCATCCGTGCGGCGTGACGGGGGCGTCGTCCGCGACGAGCTGTCCCCATTGAGTGGCAAAGACGCCCCCAAAGCAGGTCGGAATCACGTCTTGCTCCTGGTAAAACTTCGTCACGCTGTTGGGAAAACTGGGCTGGCGGCTGTTCTTGCCATTGGAGGCATCGAGGATGTACGGTACCTCATGGGTAAAGTTATAAAAGTATCCGTGCTCCCTGTTGGTCGTGCCAATGGCGTGCTCCATGTAGTCGCTGGAAAACACAGGAACGTCAATGGTGGTGGTGTTCCTGTTGTCGACGTCGATGCTTTTTTTAATCTTTTTCTTCTTTTTGTCGAACTTCGTGACCTTCGTTCGAGTTGCAAGGTAGTTGATCCACTGTCCCATCGGTCGGTGCAACGACTGAAATTCCTCGTTGATTTTCTTGTGGACCTCCAGTTCCTCCTTGGTTTGCACCTTCTTATTCTTGCGCGAGTACACCCCTAGCAAAAACGTCCAGAGGACCGATCGGTGTGCCCAGTCCGTCACCTGGTAGGACCTCTTGTTGCGGCCCTGCCGGATGCCCTTATTGGTCTTCGACTTGCACGCCACCCCGTGGGAGTTCACAATCGGAATGTAGGACGGCAGCATCGAGGACGACTGCGGAATGACACCGTTATCGGGGCTGATCGCCTGTAGCATGTCCGAAACCTGAATGTGTTTCTCGATGTGGTCGCGGTAGGAGTTGTTGTTGTCTTTGAGGAACAAAATGAGATCGTCCGGTCCAATATCGTTGCCGATCCGCTTGAAGAGCTGGTCGTTGCCGAAATTCACGTAGACCAGTCCAAACGGGTTCTTCGAGTTCTGGTTTTTCTCCCGTTTCTTGAGGAGTTTCCGCTTGGAACTCTGCGCCACGAGCGGCTCGGCCTCGCCCTTTTGTTCAAGGAATCCCTTGTGCATGACCATCGTGATCCAGTAGGCGTACGAGTGATCGCACCTTCCGACGTTGGGCATGGTCACGACCTGGATGAGCGGCATCGGATCGAGGACCGGCAGATCCTTCGCCTCGATCGCTTTGTTGCATTTGGTAATGACCGTCACGGACGCGATTCGGTACGACTCCGGGGAAAGGTCCTTGAGGTAGGTCTTCCAGATCCATTGGATGGAGGCGTCGCAATGCGAGACCACAACGTGGACGTTCTTGATGGCAGGACCGGCGGGCGTGTAGTCGTCGTTGTCCTCTTCCTCCTCGTCGTCCTGGCTGATCTCGGCAACGGATTCGAGCGCGGCAACCATGGCGAGGGATTGTTGTTGTTGTTGTTGTTGTTGCTGCTGCTGCTGCAACACCCCGGTTTGCGTCGTGCTGCTGCTTACCTGTGTGGTTTTCGTTTCCGTTACCTGCGTCCGGTGTCGGATCGCCGTGTGCTGCTCGGAATCGCCTAGTGTGGTGGGCAGGTTTATCGATTCTGAGCTTCCAAAATCCCCCAGCGCCACCCGGGAGGTCGTCGCCTCGGCGTGGTGCGTCGTCGTCAATGTCGTGGTGATGGTCGTGTCTTTCGACATCGTCGTTCTGGTCATCATGGTCAGAAAGATCGTGTGCAGCGACATAAAGAGGGCTCCCAAGAAAATGAAAAACACGAACTTCGCGCTGTAATTGAAAGAATTCAACCTCAGCGACTGCCGGCGCTTCTTCTGTCGCGGTGTCGGCGAGGCCAACAACGGCGACTTTGACTCCAGCATTCGGTCCGTTTCTGATTCCTCGTCCGTACAATCCATCATGGTTGCAGTGGGATGCCGAGAGGGTGTGTATTTCATTCAATTCGGGTGTTCCGATCGAATCGAATCGAAATCGAATCGACTCAATTCGTGTTCGTTTGCAATCGTTCCGTTGGTTCGATCGTTTGGTAGCGATGCGGCGTGTCTTTCTCGCCACAAATCCGAATCCGACGAGACGAAGATTTTATTGGCTTAATGCACTACAGGAACAATCCAACCAAGAATTGCCTTACGATCGACGACGCCTCTTGTGGAAGTGGGATTCGTGCTTTTTTTCTGATGGAACTCGTCGAAAGGCAATACGTTGCTTCTAAGGTTTTGAGTGTCTCGGAAAGGTACCCTCAAAAAATGAAACGCCATTGGGTGTTATGCGTCGTGTGATAAAAAATGGGCCGAGGGGAGCATTCCATACGTTACGGTGGCGACTCGAATGTGAAAGGCATGAAAGTTCCTTTTACTACCGTACTGTAGGCGAGTTTACAGATATCCAGTTCCCAACATACCGTAGATACCGGTACTCGTACGTACTGTAAACAAACAAACCGCTTACTCACAATATTGTTCTGCCTACTTAGGCTACGGTAGTGATTTCGAGGGGTATTCAAATGAAAAGAGGTTGTGTAATGAGTCTGGTCCAGATTCGTACGCGCGCAATATTTCTGGTCTGCTCAACGGACGTGACCCCCCAATCACATACCGGTACGGCCTTATTTTTCTCCTTCAGAGAAGATGCGCCAGCTTGCGAGCTGCGGGTGATTGAAAATTCCTTCGTCCACCTAAGTACCATATCTACCGCAGCCCAACTTCCGCCAGTCCCTGCTACCAAATAGAACCTGCGTACGTTCGATGATTCGGTGCAAACATTCCAACGACTACCGTACTGTATTAACTTGCGCGCGCGTGAGATGTTTTGGAATGCAGAAAATGACAGAATTTCTTTTAAGCGGAGTGGTCGGTAAACGATTCCCACTTGATTTGATAGAAACGCTTTTTCCCCCTCGACTAAAATACATAGGCACTGTATTAAATTCTATCGTATTAGTCTTTTTCTAATTCTAGCGCATTAGCGGTTCTCATTTGCTTCCAACCGTACGGTGCGGTGTCGTTCTAATGCATACTACAAACCGTGTATGGAGCGTGCAGGTATGGTTTGCTCTGCAACTTAGCTCATAACCCACTCCAAGGACATCGTAATTCAAGGTTCCAAGAATGTTATGGTACGTATGGTACCATACGTTAGGTACGAGTACCGTACGGTATGGTTTGTAAAGTGAAGAGAGAACCACTTGTTCCTTCCGAACATTTCATGCAACTACTGGTACGATACCAGTACCTGCTCGCTGCAAAGAAGAACAAATGGTTCGGTTGAGTACTTGTACTGTAATTCACTGTTCTTTGACGTACGCATGCACATTTACAATGTAGCACTAAAATGTTGTATGCAATGACCACTAAAGATCGTACTGTTCAAGGTACACTTCGAAGAAGGGCAAGGCAATAATAACAAGATTCTGATTTTATCATCGCAGAAGTAACACAGAGGAGAGCAACGTACCGTACGGTACTGTGCAGGTACCGGCACCCAAGTATGTTGTCATCTCGCTTTGGTTCGCACCGTAACCTGGCACCTTACTGTATGTTATCGTAACATACACCGTACGTACCAGTAGAGTAGGTGAACTTCGAGCCTCTACCGTACGTACATACAGGAACGACTGCCAGTTCGTAAGTACGATACGACTTCACCATGTCACGTAGAGGGAGGAAAAATATGAATACTTCGAATTCGGGGATCTTAAGAGTATCGTACGGTACGTCCTTGTACTCTACGGACATACCTACCGTACAAAATACAACTTCTGTTGCGAGAACCGTACGGTACTATGGATAAAGGGTAGTAGTAGACGATACGACACCTATGATAGGATACTTTTCAACTCTCTCGTTCTATTTTTATTATTTTTTCGTAGTTTTCATTGGCAAGAATCTCCATTTTGTTTTGCTACAGCATCCATTGCTGCCGCCTATGCGATTGCTTGCTCGTTACGCAGCGTTGGCACAGTGCCCCTTTTGCAGGATAATTGCGGTTGTGTTCCGCAAAAAGCCATCGAGTTCCATGGATCTGGGATCCTTCGTGTGGTTGCTGATGACTCGATTCATAGGGGTTCTAGATTTGTATTCCGTGACTACCATGACCGTGCTCAAGAGGAATTGCAAACATCTCTTGTGCTTCTCATGGTTCCCAACCAAGCGGTGGATCTGGCTCAGATTGTTTCGAATGATCATGTTGAACCGAATGCTCGTCACGGCGGTGCAAGACTGCGGAGAGGAGGAGGATGGTGATGGTGGTTGCGACGAAGGGGAAGGTGGCAGAATTGCAGCACTAGCACTGCCGCCTCGGTTTCCGCCGCAGAGGAGTTTGAGCTGCCATTTGTAGGTGAGTTGGTACAAGGCAAGGGTTCTGTTGACGAGCTTCTTGCTACTGCTGCCTCCCTTGGCATCGCCATTGTAGCAACTACTAATGGTTAAGAGATGGTTCGCGAGGGCGAGGTTGAAAGTTATGATGAGGTACAGAGTCGAGCCCATGGCATGGCCCTCGCAAATCACTCGAATGGGCCTTCTGTAGATGTACCCACCGCTGTAACCGTCGTCTTCGTCGTCCTCTTCTTGATAGTGGTCCTGTTTTGGTGGTTCTGTTTTTTGTTCATTCTTGTGCGTTCTAGGTAAATTCTTGTGGATCGGGACTCGCGATCCAATGTTTTCTTTGTTCTCGTGACCTGGCACGTTTGGGTTTTGCGATGACAATCGTTGTTGATGTTGGTGCTGCCGCCGTCTGGTGTACGAAGGTGGTTTCCAAAAAGCAGAATCTGCCTTCTTCTTCGGAGAGGGCAAGCAAACTTTGCGTCTTTTGTTGTCGATGCCGTCGTTTATTGTCTCCGTATTTCCACTATTGATGGGAACAGCCGCAAACGAATTGACAGTGGCTTCAGAGGGAGTGTTTTCTGAATAGTAAATGCACGCATCTAGTGTGCACTTGTAACATCGGCAAACCGGCTGGTTTCGATCCTTCCATTCCTTGTTTTGGTTCCGGTTCAGTTCAAGCGCCTTTTGTAGTGAGGAAATAGCTCTGCTGTAGTGACCGATCTCTATGCATAGCGCTGCAGTGTTATTGAGCTGTTGAGCATAAAGGTGCGACGGAGATGCTTTGGCGTTGGTATGGGAAGGGGGACAGGCAGTGCAAGATCTTGACTCAATGGCGGAATCGGCGCTGGCGTTGGCATTTTCGTGAGTGATGGTCGTTGTTATTGAATCATCCATTGAATTTCTAGAGAGTGATGTTGTTTCACTAGCACTATCGGCAATGAATGTCATTGCGAGAATGCTGTGCCGATTTTATGTTGCTTTTGGTGTAGCAAGAGGTGATGTTTGTTTGTGCAAGAAATGATTATTTCGTGATGGATGATTCTTCTTCAACGAAGATTACCGTGGGAATGTGTTTTATCAAAGAAGAATGGGATTTGAGGGAAGGAATTGAAAAATATATCACAAAGCAAAGTGAATTGGATTGTTTAAAGAAAAGTTATTCTGGACTCGAATTTTTATCAACAAGTCGTAGGAATAAGGTGAGACACATCCACCACGAGGAAAAGATATTATTATGAGCAAATACAAACCCACTCATTATTTAAGGTTATTCAAGGAATTAAACTCGTAACATTAAGTATTTCAACACTGCGTTTTTCCCGATCGCAAACCAAAAAATGAAATTAGTTGATTTGATTGGACAATAAAATTTCCGAACCAGAATTTTGAATGAGATGGTGATCATTTTTGCGAAAAAGAAGAATGACGATTGCGAAGCATTCACGAAATCTCAATTGGATAACTATTAAGTGTTTCAAATTTCAACGTGACTGTCAAGGAGCGATGGCACTTTTTTACTTGAAAAATCGTCGAAACCTTAAATAATTGTATGTCATCGGGATCCGGGATCAAATCAATTTTTTCAAAACCTCTCTGAGACACAAAACGACCAATGCTCAGTATGAAATGATGCGTACGGTACTTTCCGTGGTTGCTGTTTTCGATTTCACTGAAATCGATCCAGGATACCCAATCGTTATTTATTCTTCTTCTTATCCGTATTGTTGCACTCAGTTGTCGTCACTTAATGTTACAACAAAATCAGAGATGACACATTTTTCAGTCCCGCCAACTTCGATTGCACGGCACATAATCCCGTATCACAAGGTCTTCGTGCGTATCTGTTTGACTACTTGAAGGATATCGTAGGACAACAGGGACTAGTCCCCAAATTTTTTCTCACCCGATCATGATTTACATAGGCCAATAGGTTACTGTGCATAAGCCATATTGGGTCGAGCCGAAAAATTCTATCAACAATAGTTGAAACGATATCCTCCTCGTTCATTTCGACTCTCCCGGGGAACATTCCTTAGGTACGTAGGAAACAGGAAATTCCTGAAGAAGGAAACACTAATCCCAACATACGTGTAAGCTCTCATCGCACCTACTTAAAGTTACTTTCGTACCCTGATACGTGTACTTGAATTCAATTTGAGACCAAGAGACTGACGAGTTGGTTCGTATTTTAAGTTTAAGTAGGCTCGAATTTAGCAGCGAAGCATCAAGCATTGCATTTCCACATTCGCCTTGTGGTGACATTTTGGTGCGGTTAATATATATTGCGATAAATTTCGTGCATAGAAAATATGACATTCAGATGCAATGACGTCTTTTAGCAAGTCGCAGCAATTGCTTCTTGGAGTGGTTCAATCGAATAGATTCAATTAGTACTTCTAATTGAGCATCGCCTCGAAACACTGCTGACGGTATTTTGGTGCGGTAAAAGATCAATGTTTCTTACTTAGATGTCTATTCCGATTGTTTTCGCTTTTGATTAGAGCTTCCGATGTAATGATGATTTTGACTTGCATCTCACAAGATCATCCGAGCGTTTCAGTCATCATCGTCAAGCCCAGTGCTTTTCGATGTGTTGCAAAGTGCTAACTTTATACGACGCCTTTCGTATTGCGACTGGTTTTCGAGTCCTCCAACGCCTTGGAAGGGTGAGACTAAAGCCACCTTGTCCTATCTTCAACACGTGTCGATGGCGGGACGAGGGGCTACTGTGGGATACAGCAGGGGCTACTCCTCTTCGTCTTCCTCAGTATTGTCACCGTCTTCGTCACCGCCATTCTCCTACTTGTCGTCGTCTTTCTCACCCTCCTCAAACAAGCAATGATCGAGTTCTATCAACAAGGTGGCAGCAGTCATTGAACTGACCGCCCTGTCTCCGTTACATTCTTTTCATACATTCTTTGGTATGAATTGGAAGGATTTCTGTTCCACGCGAGTTTCAGGTGTCGTCGTCTTGTTCGATTTACATTCTTTGAGTGGAATTGTGAGGGTTCGTTGATGCCTTTATTTCAACAGATCGTACACCGTCCCGTCCCTTGCCATCGACAGCAAGAAAGCGAAATTCGTTGCCTTGGCCTCGTGAATCGATCGGGCAGCGTAGTGGATCCAAATTTCAAACGCTTTCTCGACATTTATTTTCCAAGCAGTTGAATAGGGAGCTAGAATTTCGTTGATTATTGTTCAGCCAATACGTTTCTTGGTACTTCTTAGTGTGTCATGTCTGATGCAGCCGATCGCACGGCTTTCGTAACCGGCATCGTACATGCTGTTCCGAGCTAACCTTGCTTCGATAGAGCTGAATGTGATTACCCTGCCTCCAAAACTAGTCTCAATGGCTAACGAAGAGGACGTTGTTATGGCTAAACCATGTCGAGACGTGATCCGCTTTCATGAGGTACTTCGTAACAAAACGATCAGTGGATCATCCGGACTCTGTACAATACATAGAACAAGATGAAACATCGGAGACAATGAAGTCGTTCGGTGAAAGTTTTGCTCTTAGCACGGAAGGCACATGCTTGTATCAGTACTCACAACTACCGTTACCGTAATCTACGGTGTTTCGATGATGGATCCATGATATGGATATCCAAACGAGGCATGCATATTCCCTGTAAAAGTGTCACTGTAAACCCCGTACTGTACCGTACGACAGTAGTAGGAAGGTACCCTGCATGGTACGAAAAGTACGAGTGCGCAAGTACTACTGGTCCGATGACAAAGCTAGTAAACTCGGTTGCACATGACAGATGGTTGCAAGTTTGGCATCCAACACAAGGTCATATCGCCTAGCTACTACTAGTACTGTGAACTTCTTGCGTCATCATGATGTCCTCTCTCAGCCTTTTCAGGGTAAAGGAAACGAAATGAAGAACCTTCTAAAATGTACGCTTTCTACTAGTACTATTACTACTACTGCAAGAACAAAACTGCCAGATTACTTCCTCTGCTAGTAGTAGGGCTCCTCCTCGTTCGCACCGGATATGATTCGTTGTTTCCTCCCATTTGTTTTGCTGAAATCCAGTGTATCTTGTTTTTTCTGTGATTTTGTCAAGATTCGTAGTACCCTGCTATTTTTTGTTGCTCTCTGCTATTTTTTATACTACCAAGGGAATGTTATACAATGCGGGTCGGACTAGAAACCTATACGGAAGCGACCAAGTTCGGAGTTACAACTACCTCGTACTCCAGGTACTAGTATCATTCTTGCGAGCCCTAAGGTGCGAATGGCAGAAGGTACCCAATCATTCATTGGTAACAAGAATTCAAAGCAACGACAACTTTCGGGAGCAAACCATTCTCGGATCATCATTGCTATCGTCATGAATTTTGGTGGATGCTAGTAACCTAGAGGATGGTGCCGATATGGCGAACTCTAGGGAGACATAACTATTACATAAGTGTAGCAACTGCAATCCATATGTATTACCAACCCAACGTTATTGTCGGTGCGAAAAATGTGGCTGGCCCGGATATCGTTGACAAATTGGCATGAACACCGTGACGAACGCGCACCGGTGAAATGATAAAAGACATTTCTTGAATAATGTGGTGATCATCTCACCGTCCCAGTAAATGATAGTCGAAAAAAGAAAGCCCCGAATGACTATCCATAGCAACATCCCACCGTACCGGTATTTTTCTCAAATTCGATGACCCTTGCACTTCCTAATTCTACTCGATTAGTGAAGAAGGCAAGGGACGAATCATCATCATCTTTTTTTGTCACTGATAATTCTTCTCAATATTTAAAGAAGCGTGGTTACCAGGAGTTCATAGGCATTCTATCGCTAAGTACGACTCGGAAATGGTCATTCTCCGCAATATTTTCGTCCATAATGTTTCCTATCATTTAATAAATTGAGTCACTTAAGAGAATAAATGTAGAATGGGCTATATTATAAACAAGAGGAAGTGCTTCGGTTGCGCGCCTTTAGCGAGAAACATTCCGATGTGACAATCGTGAATATTGTGAGGCTATAATGGCATAGATGTGAATTTCACACGAAGGCCATAACTCATCCCATGAACAACGGTTCCCTGCCAAAGGATATCAGTTACTCACTCAACCCCTGACACCCGAAGGCGAGCGTTTCCGCGAAAACGGGGCGAATGGTACGATTGAATTGAAATTCAAAGCTTGAAAGCTTGGTGCCGGTACGGTAGGAACAAGCACTACACGCCAAATGGGATTGACCCTACTCACAACGGTATGCACGAATACTACCGCGTTCACGTTATCACATGTTTCAACCACACCACACATACGTCGGCACGCACTACATCAAGTCGCTGCACCATATAGTGCAACAAGCCATCCGAATACAAACACGCTAGCAAAACAAATCGGCAACGATACAATCTACCGTACTTGGAACAAGCAACCTTCCGTTAAAAGCTTCATCGAATCAAAGAGTACGCATAGTGGACGACATGAATCGTGCATTCCGATACGGGGAATCGCCTTTTTCGTGTTCACCGACAAGCACCAGGGACACCGCCTACATAGTAGAAAAGAGTCCGACCAGAGGCGGCAAAGCAACCATTTCTATGATGCCAAACACGACGAATGCGACAACCAGCACGACAAAGAAACTGCCCCGTTTCCACTGCTCGGAGAAAAACCACAAATACCAATCGACGGTGGATGCTCCCTCGGCTACGACCGGAAGCCAAAGGAGCATCGCGGTCCCGCAGTCGCTTGCGAACCTAAGGAGTCAGCTGAATTATTCGTCTTCATCGTCGGTGACGTCGTCCTCGTCCTCGTCCTCGTCCTCGTCGTCTTCACTGGAGGGAGGTAATGTCATCGCGTTGCACACGAATAACAATGCAAATGATTTTGCTGTGCAGGACCGAAGAAACAACAACAACAGCAGGAACAACAACAACAATACAATGCCAAGAAGGAGGCTTCACACTAACAGTTTTTCACCGTCCGTGACACAACGGCAAACCCAAAAGCATCCAAAAGAACAGCCACAGCACTACCAAGAGCAACAATACCATGCACAACAAGGCATTTTTCGACGGCGTGCCGTACCGCTACACTACGAACAACGCCCTTTCAAGCAGCAACGGAGTATGTCTCAGAGCCCCCACCGCCCCCGAGACACGTTGCGAATATCTCCGGAACAACGGGGGCAGCAGCAACGCAACACCAAAGAACCATCCACTAGCAGCACAGCCAACATAGCAATGCTCATGTTGCCGAATTTCCAGGATCCTTCTTCGTCTACGGAGCAAGTCTCCGATGCTCCCCCGCCCCCACCCCTGTGGACGGAAGGATTCGCGAAGGGCCTGGCAGATTCCATTGCACGAACACCGCAGCCCCTTGGCGCCAACAGGGCGCGGCGAAAATTTTGGTCTCGTCTGAAACCCCAGGATATCATCCGAGTTTCCTCGCTCAGCGAGGACAGCTGCGAGGATACCAGCAATACCGGGAGTGCCTATTTTGAAGACGAAGACAAGCACGAAGACGACAACGGGGTGCTCGGATGCGGATCTTTCTCGAGTGTGACGAGGATCTGCGTCCGTGGAAAGGGGACCAAGCAGTATGCCCTCAAGCACCTCAAGCAGGACTTGCTTCCCCCGAGGCTGTCCGAGGACTGCCTGACGAACGGCTCCACCGCCGCCTTCGAGAGGGCGGCAAGAGAACTCGCACGGGAGGCGAATCTCCTGTCCCGCTTCGGGAACGAACACCCACACATTATCAACATCGTGGGTTGGACGGACGGTGGTGCCGCCTCCTATGCGGCCTATATGAGGCACGATGCGTTCTTTCTGGTTCTCGAGTTGCTGCAGGAAGAAACCCTCGACGACCGCATAGAGCGCTGGAACCACGACGATGCCCAGCTCCGGCAGAAACAAACGGTGGCGACAAACCCGGACAATCCGAGGCTTCATTTCATTCGGCGGAAGATCGAACAACTGACGATCTGCAAGCAGATCGCGGACGCTCTTTCCTACATCCACTCCAAAAACATTGTTTACCGAGATTTGAAACCCCAAAACATCGGATTTGCGATCCCGACCAAGAAGACCAGCAGTGTCGCGAACGACGGTGACAGCAACAACGTGGTGGTCAAGCTCATGGATTTCGGACTCGCGAGGGAACTCCCCACGAGTGGAACGATTCTTCCCAAGCAGCCACAGCAACAGCAACCAGCTAGATCTCAACCACCGCGATCTCCAAACAAAAACAACAAAGACCCGACATTTTCAACCCCTTTCAACGGACTGTTCGACATGACCGGTACGGTCGGGACGCTGCGATACATGGCACCCGAGGTGTGCATGCACCGTCCCTACGGACTGGAATGCGACATCTATTCGTGGAGCATTGTTGCCCATGAGATCCTATCGCAAACGAGACCCTACGAAGACATGACCCCCGATATGTACCAGACCTTGGTTTGCTTGCAAGGCGTGAGGCCCCAGAACGGTAGCAATGGCAGGGGCATGCCCTCCGAATACACGGTCCTGCTAACCCAGGCCTGGAGGACCGACCCATCGAAGCGGTTGCGTCTGGATCGGATCATGCGCCAGCTCGATTTGTTCCTGCAAAAAGAAAAACTCATGCTGGAAGCCCAGGAGCTCCTATTGGGCATGCCCGAGAGCAACGAATCGCCCCTGTCGCTTTCCCTCTCCTTTGCAGAGAGGAGCAGCACCAGCAGCCGGAGCCACCATCACCGCCATACGCGCGGAATCCATTGCGGATATCGTGTGCGGTCTCCCCAGTACCGAGGTGGAAAGGCGAAATACGGCAATAGCAGCAGCAGCAGCAACGGCAACAAACGAAGCCGGAATCAATACAACGGGGGGAACAAATCGCACAATGGTGTTATCTTCCCAAATTCTACGATGCACTGCTATGACAGTGGCGGCGTTTCACCATCCCCCCCCGCTTACAGCTGTGTGTCACCAACACGCCCTTCTTTGCCGTCTCTCGGCTATACATATAGCAGCAGCCACAACGGAACGAATCACGAAGGCGAAACCAACCATTATTACGGCAGAAACAACAGCAGTGAAAATTTGTTCCGACGGGAGCAGCAAATCCACTTGGAACAATCCGCCGAGAAGGCCGCGACCATAAGTCCGGATCCCTGTTACTACCAGCTGAGACAATCCCAACAGCAGCACCCTTATCGCCACCAACAACACCGACAAGACCCGATGATTCCTCATCACCAAAAGCAACACACACGAAAACCAACACCGAATTCTTTCCATTCACCGCAGCGGCCGGTTGATACAAGTATCTCAATCGATAACCAAAACAGAGGTGGGCAATGGAACCAAAAAGAGCAGGGGTACTAGTTCGTGCGGACAACGGTAGTTTACGAAAGTTGGGAACAACGAGTTTCGTTCGTGAACATCCAATACTGGAGCAGAGTAGAAACCAAATTTCTGGAAAAGCTCTTCTAGCTGCTGTTCCTGGATTGAATCTATTATGTAATTTTATCACAAACCCAATCCCAAACTGGTTACGATTCTAGCTGTTTTCCAACAATAGAAAATGTGTATCAGTACAAAGACGTAAATTTTTGGAGTGGTTTTCGGTGGGCCCGTACGGTCGTAGGAAGTCTTACAAAACAGAGCATAGCTTTTAGTGTCGGCTCCTAAACGGTGTCATTGTCCCGGAAATGACATACGTATTACTGTAATTTCATCGATCATCTTTGTTCGACAAACTATTTCATGGTTTGGGTTAGAGCAACATTTCATTATTAAAACAAATAATAGAGTAGTGAACTTAAATCAGTGATCTCGCAGTACAGGAATATACCTCAGAATTGAATCTTGATGAAATAATGGTCATGCCAATCGCTACTGGGATTTAAAGAGCACGATCTTTTCCTACTTTGGAAATGGCGATGAAGCAGAGAGAGCACGATCCCTCTCTACGTAGAAAATGAATTTGAAGGCTGATCAATCGTGTGCGTTCCGGACCAACAATCTAGTACAGTAACTTTTGACAGAATTTCACGGGTCCGACTTAGACGAAAGCTGCTACGGCCAACATGGCAGCGGAGAGGATGGTACTGGCTTGGCTGCCAGACGATTCATCACTGACGACAAGATTCTCGTCCGATGCATCGTTGTTGGATTTGAAGGACTCAGGGGTAGGATTGGGGGTAGGATTGGGAGTTGGCTCAGGAGTTGGCTCCGGAGTTGGTTCTGGGGTTGGGTCGGGAGTTGGTTCGGGAGTTGGCTCCGGGGTTGGTTCGGGTGTGGGTTGGGGAGTCTGCGTGTATGAGACGAAGCGAACAAAACACGGGATGCCCAAAAAAACAACGGTTAGCGCAGAATTTCAAAAAAAAAGTTGGAGAAGAATTAAAAAACTTCGGAGCAACAACTTTGTAATTCAATTTTTCATTTGCTTCGCACGATACTTACAGGTTCGGGAGTGGGGTCGGGAATAAATGGAACGCCGCCTACAATGCTAGCAAGGACACAGGTGTTGGTCTGGCCGTGATCGAGATTAATTTTTTCCGGGGTACCCGGGGGGCAGCAAGCCCATGGAGAACCCATGGGCTGGCTTGGATCTTGGTTGCATTTGTACGCCACGGAGCCCGAAGATGGACCGAATTGAGCAAGGCAAGAATTTGAAGTTCCAACCGACGGAGGGTCTGGCTCAGGACTACAATTTCCTCCACTTGGGAGGGTGTCCTGAGCAGTGACAGTGGAAGCACACAGAGCCAAGGCAAGGATGGCGGAGTTGCGGAACATCATGTTTACAGATTATTAAGCGACTGGTGAAAGAGTTCACGTACAATGAATTATGAGACTCTGCAAGTGGATTCAAGAAGAGATTTCGATGGAGAACGATCTTGCACGGCGGCAGACCGCAGAAAGCGAAAAAAATTGCTTTGAGAGTGAATCGGAAGTTAACACACGTACAAAGTTGCGACGTACGTACCTGTACGGCGCTTAAATTAGCGCATGCTGTGGAATCGTAGATTACAGTACAAGATTATTCTCTTCCGAGTGAAAGGATGTGATCCGATGGCACTTCATTTACTGAAAAGATCGTAAGCAACAATGCACAGAGGAGAGAAGAAGTGAAAATCTATCACCTCTCTCTTATGTAATGTCGTGCTGGCTACAAGGCTCGACAAATTCTTCCGTCAGATGTAGAAATACATAGGAGAGAAATTTCCGTTCAAAATTTACAATAAAATTGCCCTTTCGCGAAAGAATAAAACGAACTACTTACAAAGATATTTTGGAACTAAGTTTTTACTTAAGACTTGGTGCGTCGTGACACTTTTTTTTGTTTCTGTAATGACGTAAGCTACAAAGCGAGTGTACGTTGAAGAATTTCACAGCAACAACATGCAATCAAAAATTCTTATCAACCAAATCAGTGATGGAGACATTTTGGAACTGAATTTTTCCTTATAATTAGTTGTGTCAAGATACAACCGATTATGTTGTGGCATTGCAACAAAATGCAATACTAAAGTTCTTGCAGTACGGTACTTGAGGATTTCTCAAAGTGAATAGAATACCTTTTGCCAAAATTCTGGGTCTTAAAGAGGACAAGGATTGCACCACGGAGCCCAGATTCTACTGGAAGGGGCGACGATTAAAAAAGGTGAATTGCGGAGTACGATACTACTGGTAAAGTATTTCTCTCTGATTTGATTCTTGTCAATTTGAAAGATTCAATGGAAAGAGACGTTTGATGTAGATTTCCTCCTAACAAAGAGCGAAGCAAAGGTCTTCGAAACCGAAAATGCAATTCATGCGCACCATTTCTGGCTAAGGCGGAAGTACGGGTCCGTATCTTTAGCTAGACAAAGGCAATGGATTTCATGAGAATTATACTGATACTAAAATATGGTTAAAAAATGGTAGTGATACAAATGTTGGATGGGGATCGAGTCGAATCCTACAAGAAATACTCGTGATGCAATTAGAAACGAATATGGTTTGGCTCTGGCTGAGGTCTACGAAGGCATTCAACCCCTAGTCAATGCCAATAGCTCTTGCCCCTGATTAGTTGCTTCGATCGGCCTCTTGCTGCAGTGTGATCCCAATACGATGTCATCGTGCTTGTAAAATCGTGACCGTAACCACCGAGATCGCGGCGAAGAATGCTGCTCGCATTATGATTCGTGCTTCAACATCAAATGAAAGCAAAAGCGGTCGTCGTCCTGCTTTTTAGGCAAGCAGAACGTGGGCTATGCTCGATTTGGATCGGATCTTTTTGCCCTCAATTCGTCGTGACACTGCTATTCGTTTCGATCCTAGACCTCCGCATAGCTAACAGTATCCGAGTCAGAATCTTCCGACGGGGTAGTATTTTCCTTGTCCGACTCAGCGTTTTCGTCGGCGGCCGCAGTCACAGAACCAGACGCAACATCGAGAGTTTCATCGGTGCTTTCTTCTTGGGTGGGAACAGACGTTTCCTCTTTGGTTGGTTCGGCATCGCAGGAGGGGACCGTAGCGTCCTCCTCGGTCGGTGGTGCGCATTCGCTCGCTGTGCTAGAACTGCTCGATTCCGGCGTTGCGTCCGGCGTTGCATCCGGCGTTGCATCCGTGCTTTCCTTGGGTTCGTCTTTGTTTTCCTCTTGTTCTCTTTGGTCCTTTGTGGGTTCTTCCTCGTCGCCCTCCGCACTCGGTGCCTCAGATTCGCTGGGCGGAACCACGCCGGTCGATCCCGCTGCTTCGCCGGGGTTGGAATCCGAACCGTCGTCGTTCTCGGACGGGGCTTCCTCTTGCTCGCTCCCGGCGTCTGGCGCGGCATCGTCCTCGCTCAGGATGTTGAATTTTTCCCGCAGCATGGACCGCCGCGTGTTTTCTTCGGCGAGCGTGTCCCAGATGGAGACAGAAGACGCGGCGCTGCTGCTGCTGCTATCGACCCGCTCGGTGAGCGGCACCGGCTCGGAGAGGAGATCCGAGCCGCCGATGGCTTTGGTGGGTTCCGAGCTCTTGCAGTGAATGGTGATGCTCCTGCCCCTGGCCTCGATGTCTCCGTCGAGGTAATTGCCACTGACAGACGTATCGTCGCTGTCCTTGCTGCTGTTGGTTCGATGCGTCAGAGCCATGCCGTCCACTTCGCTGTCGCCATGAATCTTTACCTCGACGTTGCAGTCGTCGTTTTGGTTGCCCTTGGGCAGGTACAACACCGTTGCCGTCGCGGTCTGCTCCTTCGTTCTGCGGCAAAACTCCTTGTAGAACCACCAGAAAAAGACCGGGGCCAGCGCCAGCAGAAACGACGCCACCACCAGTATGGATTTGTTGTTGTCTCTCGATTGCGCCGAGGCCACGGCTGCGTCGCTTGCCTTTGCCTCATTCGCGGAAACGTCCGCGATCGTTGGTTTCCTGGGAGGTTCCGTCGAGGAAACGTTGGCATCGGGAACCGGCGCCGGGGAATCGCCGGCGCCGGGATCCCCGCCGGGGAGGCCTTCCGCGACGGACGACTCGGATTCCGACCACTGTGACTCGTCGTGGACGGCGCCGGTCTCGTTGGCGTGGTTTCCGGCGGCGTCGCTCCGGGGCGGTGCCCCTTCCCCGCCCTCGCCATCCGCGCCGGCGTCCGTGGTGGTCTGGTTGGGCGGAACGTAGAACAGGGGCAGCCCGCAGTCGTCTTCGAAATCGAGGTCTTTGTCGGAGGGTTCCGTTTGCCGCAGAAGGCATTCCATCTTCGCCATCAGGCCGTCCCGGATTTTCTGGTCGATTTTGCTGCTCGGGACGAGCTCCGGGCTCGCGTCCGGGAACGTGACGTACTCCCCCGTGGTTTCGTCGCACAGATCGAAAAAGTTGTGCGTGGAGAGAACCGTCCCTTGCGTTTCTGGAAGATCGACACCAAACGGAGAGGAGAAAGAGAGGAAACGAAAGACAGTGTTGAGAGTGAGTTTGATCGTGCGAGGCGATATATCCGGTTGGATTGGAATGGGTCAACCAATGGAACCAAGAAAAGAAATGGAGCCAAACAGTGCCGTTGCACCCGCCTGATTCCCTTTTCGTTCCTTTGCTGCCAACCCGCTCCGCTCCGTTTCGAATCGAATCGAATCGAATCGCACCGACTCCTTGGTTGGGTCTCGCCGTTTCCGTTGCTGCGCAACCAGGCGACACTCCGGTGACACTCGTGCAGCAACGACGGCAGCAACAGCAGCAGCAACGACAGCGACGAAACCCCCCACGAAACACGACTTACCCGCGGCCCACGCCGTCCCCCCGTAAGTGGAAACGTACACGTACTTGTAGCATCCGCAGCGGACCGACCGGTCGTAGCTCATTTCCACAAAGAGGCACCGCGAGGACGAAAGGGCCTGTGCTTCTGCTTCCGCCCCACCGGTGGAGGATTCCCCGCCTTTGTGGCTTGCGGCCTCCCCCGCCCAGGACCTCCCGTCCATGGCGTACGTTTCGCCGGCGCCCTGGTGTTCTCCGGGGACCACCACCCCCGCCAGTTCCAGCAGCGTGGGGGCCACGTCGATCGTCGAGGCGGGCGCCGAGAGGGTGGTCCCCCCCGTCCCAAAGCCGTCCGGGTAGTGGACGAACTGGGGGATCCGGCTCCCCCCCTCGAAGAGGGTGCCCTTGGCCTCCATGCCGTGGTCCAGCTGGAAGAGGACGAGGGTGTGGTTGAGGGCCCCGCGGTCCTCCAGAAAGTCCAGGAGGCTCCCGACGGCGTCGTCGACCCAGGCGGCCCCCGCCAGCTTGTCCAGCAGCCGGTCCTCCAGCGACTGGTCCTCGTCGTGGGCGGCGGGCGAACCCCGGACCTCCCCGAGGTCGTAGGAACCGCTGGAGAGGGCCTCCTCGGCCCGCTCCACCACGCTCTTGCGGTACTGCTTGCAGGTCTTGTAGGCGGCCGTCTTGCCGTAGGGCACCAGCGGCTCCTCCTCCAGCCGGCCGGCGACCGTGTCCCGGCAGTCCGCGTAGCGGAGGGCGTCCGTCACGTCCTGCAGATAGTGGGGGACGGTCGGGTTGAAGTACAAAAAGAACGGCTGCTTCTGCTGCTGCTGCTGTTGCTGCTGCTCCTCCTCGGTTCCGCCCCCCAGGTGGTCCTCCATGAACCGGATCGCCTCGGAGGTGAGGTGCTCCATGTTGTGCGTCACCTCCCCGCCGTCGGCGTTGGTCCGGTCCAGAAAGGGCCCCCCGGTGTTCTCCTTGTAGATGGCCTCGGCCACCCCAAAGCCGCAGCGCTTGACCCTGTCCTTGGTCTCCTCGTAGGAGTCGTAGCTGCCGCTCTCGGTGTCGGTGAGGTGCCACTTGCCCACCACCCCCGTGGCGTACCCGTGCCTCTGCAGGACCGCCGCCAGGTTGTCCTCCGTGCAGTCCCTTCCCCAGCTTTCCACGTCCTCGAGCTTGGTCCGGGGGATGACGACCTTGCGCAGCAGGAGGTCGCTGCCCGCTCCGCTGCCGGCCCCGTAGACCCATTCCCCGGCGTCGGTCTCCCGGCCGTAGGCCGACCGGGAGGGGTACCGGCCCGTGAGGGTGGAGTACCGGGAGGTCCCGCACATGGTCGACGCCGCGTAGGCGTTGGTCAGCTCCAGCCCGTGGTCCCTCAGGCGGTTGATGCTGGGGACGAGCGATTCAAAGGCCCCTTGCTTGGTGTTGTCGTCGTCGCCCGATGCGTCGTCGTCGTCGTAGTCCTCGTAGGGGTAGAACCTGGCCGGGGGGTTCCACTCGCGGAAAAAGAGAAAGTCGTCGGGCTGGATCACGATGAAATTGGGCCGCTGCCCTTGTCCGTTGTCGTTGTCGCTGTTGCCGAGGGCCGGGCTTCCGGCAAGCAGGAGCAGGAGCGCGGGCAAGAGCGCTGTGTGTGGGCGAGCCGGAAGCATTTCTGTGCGATGTCTTCTGCTKTAATAAAAGAGAATGGAATGTGGCGTTGGCGTTGGCGTTGGGGTTGGCGTTGGTTGTTGGTCCCGTTTGTTTCAAATATCGATCGATCGAAACAGAAGCTAGTGCGGACGTTCCTTTTTGCGCTGCAGTCGCTCAAGTGCCGGTGGGCTTGCGAGAAACGAATCGAATCGAATCCAATCGAATACAATCCAATCGAATCGAATCGAATACAATCCAATCGAATAGTGTCGGGCGTTCTTTGGTCTCCGCGGGTGGCCTGTCTGATGCCGCAATGCTTTCCGTCTCGTTTCGTTGCCGGACAACAAGCAGCACCAAGAACGCGTCACAAAAAAATCGTACGGGGATGTCGGTGATCTGCCGTGCCGTACGGTACTCGTATGGGTCCTTTCGAGGTTCGAGACAGCGATATGGTCGGCGAGCTATCCCAAAAATCGTACGGAGTGGCCGGAATCGATAGGTTGTTTCTGTTTCGTGGTGGTGTTGATATTGATATTTTTGATGTTGTGGGATCATCATTTTTTTTAATCGGCAGGTTCCTGGTTGGGCGCGTAGACCCGGGTAGTACTCGTACTCGTAACACAGAGTGGACCGCATCGGACGGTATGTTGTCTTCCCCGTTGGTAACGTACCATAACCTACGCGACGCGGAATGCCGCCGGTATGGTCCGGATTGGCATTGCTTGGCACCATCCCCGATCTGAACGGCGTGTCACCGGTTGCCGTTGGACGTAGGGTTGCTACTAGTACCCATCCAACAACGGATTTATTTTCGTCGAATCCAACCGCTTCTCCTAAGAAGACCCTACGGAACGGAAGACCGGGAATTCCGGGCACCTTCTTGCGACCAAATGGTGCGTGGGTCTTCCATCGTTTATGAGTCACGATCGTCAGGCCACGAGTGAGACGCGTTTGGATTTCCATGGGACACGAGAAAATTCTTGTTGGAGCAGGCGTGTCCTATCTACAGCTCTGTGTGGTATGTTCCGCACGCACAGCCGCCTTCCCGGGATTTAGTTTGAACTTTTTGGCGCGTTGTCGGCGTCATTGACCTTCCATACTTAAAATTTTTGAACCTACCGCTATGAGCGGTATGTATGTACGTACCAAGTAGTACCTCACGAAACGAGATAAGTACTTCACGTACAGTCTTACTGTTACTATTCCACGTCCATTCCTCAATCTTTCGTGAAGAGACCCTTTTGGATGTTCCTACCGTACTGTTGTACCAATGGATGTTGGACAGAGAAAAACTCCCCACGCCGTGCAGTTTTGCAGCGGAGCAAGACATATTTGCAGCGGAGCAAAACATATTCCGATACAGGGACTCGAACCCTGGTATCCTGCGTGAAAGGCAAGTATGCTAACCACCTACATCATATCGGAACTTTTCTTGTTGCATCGACGACCAATTTTTAAAATTATATTCATGTATTGCAGATTTATATTCTATCAGCGGTTCTAATCACAGGCATCGCACAGCAGACCAACCCGGCCGTGGTTGTCTCGGACCTAAAGCACACAAGCAAGCGGGCCTCTCCACAACGCAACTGCCGAGCGCACTGCAGCAGGATTCCGGTCCACAAGCGAGTGGTGTAGTGTAGTGTGGTGTGGTGTGGTGTGCACCATGATGCACACCGGTCTTGGCGAGGCTGCGGCGAGTCCGGTGCGTTTTTGTGGGCTGTTGTCACGCACTCCACAACAAAACGCACCACGCTACACCATCCAATCCCACCGACACAATGGGCACCAACCTACCGTGTGTCAGGCGTCGGAATGCAATGAGAAAGACCGCGTCCAATCGGCCCTGTACGTTCCCGAATCACATTGCATCACATCTCATTTCTTTGATCCCATCATTGCATTCTGCATTGGATTGCATTGGATCGGAACTTTCGATCTGATCCGATTTGATTCGATGGATTTGGTGCTGTTGTCACAGTGGCACGGTGGTCCACATATCATTGGAGGAGAAACGAAAAGCTGCCGCCTCCCACCATGTTGTCTGCTTCCGAAATCTTCCCTGGTGCCATTGCACGAGGATCGTGCGACAACCGGCACATTGAACAGCGGTAGAGATTTGTTGATTCTTTGTTGGCTCTAGTAGAGTAGCAACAATCCTCCACTTTTCAGCAGATATAATTCAGGGAAAACGATTTTTTCCTTCAGCATACGATCGCACCGCATGGTACATCAGCAGAATACATCCCACGGCATCGATAACACATAAATCTACTATTTGCTGTATTATTGTGTTTTTCCTTCTAGTATTGCTCATTTTTTTATATTTGTTGTACCATGCCATGATTTTGTTTTGGTAACTCAATCGTCCATCATACCGGTACATCCGACACATAATAGAGGACTCATATCTTCGTACGATACGGTAGAACCTTTTCTCATAACGGTACTGTACTGTATGTTGTATCGGATGATTACGTCAATTATGTAGTCGTGTGAGACATTAACCACCAAATCACGAATCGATAGTGAATAACAATCTCACTCTTTATTGTAAACCACGTATTATCGTACACTAAGGAGCCTATTAGCATTTCACAGGTTATGAGCAACAAAAGGGACTTACCTCAGCTCAATAACCATCATCAGCACCATATCCAACAACAGAGTAGATTGATTTACTAACTCACCTCTTTCCCCCGGTGTAGAGCACTCCTGAACAGCTGCTTTCCATCCGGAGCATTTTGCAGGAAAATTTTCTACCTAGAAAACACCCGGATGAAGAGAACCCCGTACTAAATCACGTAGCATTCTATGGTACCAGTTATTTCGATATAAAATTACAGCCAAAATTAACGCGCRATTTTCACCCACCCACTAGTATACCTTTGGCAGACCAGTTCTAAGCCGCCAGAGCATCCTTAAGCATCCCAATGACCTGGATCACTAAGTAATTGTATCATCTTGGTCTGGGCACTTAGTCTGGTGGTCTAAAGTTGTTTTTTGATAAAGATCTGGTGGCCTATTTTCTAACCAGCAGGCGGTCTTGTAAACCGGCCAATTTTGGCCATACCGGCTGTTAATGGTGAATAGCCTCTCCCCAGGCCCCTAATCGTGTAACAATGACACATGGGGCTGTTCCCAATACTATTAAGAAGCTTTTCCCCAAAGGGGATCTCATTACAAGCMTTTCCGGAGCTATTGTGTTTAGCTTATTTTACCTCATTGAGCTGTTTGTAGTGRTAAAAGTGACCGAAAACTAGTAGATCTGTGTAGGACCAGTACTAGAATATTTGGCTTCAAAATTAACCGTGATTTTACTAGTAATAATTTTTTCTGTTGGAGTAGAATGACATTGAGGTCTGTAGGCCCTGGTAGGATTTTACGGTTAACGCATTTTACTTCGAAATAACTGGTACGCTTCTTTTCAGATATTATACAAAGTTCGAAGTGTTGACAGCTACCATACTTGACTTACGGAGTTTGTGGTCGTGTGCGAGCAAATTGTTTACAAATTTAACGGTCCAGAACGGTTTTGTGTAAGCACCGTACAAATAGAAGAGAGAGGGGCGAGAACGACGATTTTGGTGACCGGAAGGGAATGTAGCTAATTTTGACGAGAAAATTGGCTTACAAGATTGGTGGGAACTTGATTTTTTTTCTCTTTCCATAGAAGAACACCAAATCTATTTCATGAGAGTTTTCTCGGGGTTTGCAGGCTGTTCTTTTGGGATCTGGCCTGTCGGCCATGCTCGTCGTTTGTTGATGCTTCCACAATCTTCCAACAGCAGTGCAACATAAGCGAGGCAAACTAAAGAAAGCGAAACACCCATCAATCGAATCCAGCAGTAACAAACTTAGCACGACAGAAAAGATGAAGTTCAGACGCAAGACAACCAAATCAGCTGTTGGCCTCGCTTGCTTGTTGCTCATTTCCACCCCGACCGCCGAGGCACGAGTCCGGGGCACTCGTCGAAGTCGAAGCCTTGTCAACCCAGAGCCCATCATAGCAACAATTGCATCCCATCCGGACAATCCGAAACCTCCGGCATCTGCGGAACCACATATACTCAACGCGCAGATCCAGGCAGAAGCAGGTGTAGAAGCAGAATTAAACTCGCTTGAACAGAAACCCCTGCCATCCCGAGACGAGGTCCTCCACGGAAAGGACACACCGGTCCACGGGGCTCCCAACGCGCTCCGCAACAAGAACCTGCACGGCAGCACGAGATTCGTTTGCGGCAACCACAGCGGCGGCAATGGCTGCGTACAGCATCCCCACAGGCTCCGCAATCGTTCGGATTCGAAGACGAACTCGCATTTGTCGCAGTCGTCCTTCCTGGGGCAGCGCGTCGAGGAGGCAGAGACTCGACATCGGCAATGGGTATTGAAACAAAGGATGCGGACTCCAAAAACATCTAGGACGACACGGACATCGGCCGGTCGCCACGAATAGTGATCGAAGGAAAAGCAAAGAACCCTCGAAGGAAACGCTATTGAAACAGAGCTATAGGTCCAATTGTTCTAGGGACGAGAGTGGTTTGTTATTTTCTTGCAATACACAGCTTCCTACCACAGCAGTAGATGTCAGAAATGTTTCACTAACAAAATCATTGCTTAATAGAAAACAAAAAACAATCTAATACTACAATGGTAATGCCCGCCCTTTGGTTTGTGGAAGTGGACAACTCGTGACAGTCCAGTTCCTGAAAAACAATTGAAAGTGTGACTTTTCGAATTCACAATGGGTCAATTCTAGACTCTATGTTAGCATCTTATTCTTGTGCTGCTTAGCTTTAGTCTGATGAATTTGTTTGAAGAGATACTGTTGATGTTGATGTAGCATTAAGGCAAAGAGAAGTAGCTCTCACCTTACAAGAAAATCCCAACTGGTGGTAGTACTGTCATGCATGATACAAAGAAAAAGAATATGATTTTTGGATGTGTTGTCACGCACCCGCTGATTTACCCATGCAATGGGGAACTACTACTTGTCTACTCCTTAAGGTGGATACTGGTGATGAGGCACTCCTGTTCTATTGCTTGTAACCTGTGAAATGAGTGTATCCTCTTCAGAATTGTATCATTTTTTTGTTTGTTGTTACAGCACAAACAATAGTCAGGCTATTCCTCACTTTATGATCATGATTCAGTCTCACATGTTTGCAAGTACGAGATATCAACTTCATTCCCTTCTTTGTTGTAGCATTGAGTAATGCAACGTTTTGTGTAAAATGTTGTTGCTCTCGTTAAATTGTTGGAACAATGTTAGTGTGAAAAAAGCCAAAAATGCAAAAAAATTCTCATGAGTTTTAGTAAGCTTAGCGTTAGTAAACATTTAAAACATTCCTTACACAAAATTACTATTGAAAATCTGTGACAACAGTTCAAACATCATGATTTGCTAGTACTAGTAGTAGTAGTAGTAGTAGTAGTA